TTATACCTGCATTGTTCCCATGCTGAATCCTTTGATCTACAGTTTGCGGAATAAGGATGTCAAGTTGGCCCTGAAGAAAATTCTGGACCTTAGGAAAGTATAGGTGAATAGACTCAATGTTGGGATCATATCAGAAATAAACTTTTGTTTTGCTGAGATATGCAGTGTTTTAGTTTGTTTGTTCAAATTTTTGGAAATTCAGGATCATTTCCCCATACAATACTTTTCCCAAATTCCTTCCAGGCTAGTTCCTTTGAATTTGTGTTATATTGATTATGTATGGAGAAATATCAAGAATAATGTCAGAGACTCTTGAGAATTACAGAAACTCCAGTGCAATATAAAAAATACAAATAACAAGAATATGATGATCATCATAATGTAATAACATATTATTATTAATATAGTATAAAATAGGAAGCACTTTACATTAGACAACTTTCTTAATATTTATGATATCTCTCAAAGCAAGCCCTAGTATTGTTTCCATTTGAAAGATGAATTAATTGAAACTTGTTTACTTTGAGTAAATGCCCATAATCCCAAACTTAATAAAGACAGAGGCTAGAATGGAACAAGGCTTCAGGAACTGTGATTTTACTCAAAATAATCTATTGCCCTCAGGTAATTGTGGGTAAATGTAAGATCTTCCCAATAATTTCCTTCTACACATTAAGCTTCTACTTTTCCTGTGAGATTGTATTTCTTTATGCTAGATCTCTTCAATGTTCACTTTTATTTCATTTGATTTAATGAAAACAATCCAAATATTTCAAACTTGTGTTGATCAAGCAAAAATATCAAATGCAGAGTTAATATAGAATCTTATGATAAGACTTATCAAAGAGATTCCAATTATCATGTTCAATACCAACAGTTTTTATTAAAATTGCCCAATATATTTTTATCTTTAAATCATTAGTGCTATACTGTTTATATAACAGAGCTTCCCTGGTGGTTCAGTGGTAAAGAATACAGCTGCCAATGCAGGGGATGTGGGTTCTGTCCTTGGGTGAGGAAGATACCCTGGAAAGGGAAATGGCAACCCACTCCAGTATTCTTGCCTGGGAAATCCCATGGAGAGAGGAACCTTGCAGGCTAGAGTCCACAGGGTCACAGAGTGTCCATCCAATACAACCTTACCACTGAAGTATGACAGTAAATTTATGTTAACAAGTGCTCATAATAAACCAAAATTATGTAAGTTGTATCACTTTCATGAGGTTCACGCACTTTTGCTATGGAAGTTATAAACAATTGCTGTTTCTTGTCAGTTTTATGTTGGAAACATCTTTTCTCTCCCCTCATATTGGTCTTTTCTAGCTTCTGGGCATTAACATCTGGTAAGTATAAATTCACATGAAACTGTAAATATCCAGTTGTCTTCTGCCTCTTCTCAGTTCAAACCCTCTTACTCATTACTGACAGATCAAAGTTCTTTGGGTAGTGTGCTGCCTTATTCACCTGCAGTGTCCAAATATACCACAAATAAATAAAACATAATTTTACTTACCACCCATGTATTTTAATATCCATTCTTTCATCAATGTCAAGTATTCATTTTCAATTATTTCATATTATTTTACTTAAATTTCATATTATTTGTTTTATATTTTCATATTATTTGACTTAATTTTCATCAGTACTATAAAAAGAAGGTAAAATGGGTACAATTACAAATAGGCATAATTTTTAGTCTGCTCTATATAGTCCAGAATATATATAAATCAGCTAAATCAGAACATATACCCTGTCTGAACTGAAAGAATGGCTTCTATGGGTCTCTTCAAATTTTAATTTCTGAATAATTATAAAAATGATCTGTTTACTCCTTGTTTACATTCTTTCTATATCTGACCTTTACCAACTCCAGCTCTCCTTCTCACTTATTTTACTTGGCACATCGAAGCAACTTCAATCATCGTCTGTTCACTTATAAGGTGGCATTCCAGACACACAGTATTCTTCTCTAAACATATCAGAATCCTGAAGACACAGCAAACCCTTAGTTAAAGATTTTCATTGCATGGGTATGGTGGATTTTCCCTGAATCTGAAAGAACTCCAGTGGAAGGTATTCAAAACAAGAGATCCTCTAGCACCTTGTTTCTCAGAGTGGTCTATAGATGAGAAATAGTAGAAAAATCTGAGAGATTTTATTTAAAATGTATAATCTCAAGCCATAACAAGACTTACTATCAGAATCTGCTTTTGATCAAGATCCTTAGATTATTTCCATGCACATTAAAAGTTGAGAAGCTTTTGAAAAATCCCTCCTAGCATCAGGGTCTTTTCCAATGAGTCAACTCTTCGCATGAGGTGGCCAACATACTGGAGTTTCAGCTTCAGCATCAGTCCTTCCAGTGAACACCCAGGACTGATCTCCTTCAGGATAGACTGGTTGGATCTCCTTGCTGTCCAAGGGACTCTCAAGAGTCTTCAACACCACAGTTCAAAAGCATTAATTTTTCGGTGCTCAGCTTTCTTCACAGTCCATCTCTCACATCCATACGTGACCACTGGAAAAACCATAGCCTTTATTAGACGGATCTTTGTTGGCAATGTAATGTCTCTGCTTCTTAATATGCTATCTAGGTTGGTCACTGAAGAGTTGACTCATTGGAAAAGACCCTGATGCTGGAAGGGATTGGGGGCAGGAGGAGAAGGGGATGACAGAGGATGAGATGGCTGGATGGCATCACTGACTCGATGGACATAAGTTTGAGTAAACTCTGGGAGTTGGTGATGGACAGGGAGGCCTGGTGTGCTGAGATTCATGGGTTGCAAAGAGTCGGACACGACTGAGCAACTGAACTGTGCTGAACTGAACTGAGGTTGGTCATAACTTTCCTTCCAAGGAGTAAGCGTCTTTTAATTTCATAGTTGTGATCACCATCTGCAGTGATTTTGGAGCCCCCAAAATAAAGCCTGATACTGTTTCCACTGTTTTCCCGTCTATTTCCCATGATGTGATGGGGCCAGATGCCATGATCTTAGTTTTCTGAATGTTGAGCTTTAAGCCCACATTTTCACTCTCCTCTTTCACTTTCATCAAGAGGCTTTTTAGTTCCTCTTCACTTTTTGCCATAACGGTGGTGTCATCTGTGTATCTGAGGTTATTGATATTTCTCCCAGCAATCTTGATTCCAGCTTGTGCTTCTTCCAGCCCAGCATTTCTCATGATGTACTCTGCATATAAGTTAAACAAGCAGGGTGACAATACACAGCCTTAATGTACTCCTTTTCCTAGTTGGAACCAGTCTGTTGGTCCATGTCCAGTTCTAACTGTTACTTCCTGACTTGCATATAGGTTTCTCAAGAGGCAAGTCAGGTGATCTCGTATTCCCATCTCTTTCAGAATTTTCCACAGTTTATTGTGATCCACAGAGTCAAAGGCTTTGGCATAGTCAATAAAACAGAAATAAATGTTTTTCTGGAACTCTCTTGGTTTTTCAATGATCCAGTGGATTTTGGCAGCTTAGAAAATGCTAATACTGATATGGCATCATGGGGTAGATGGATGAGGCAGTTTGTGCCTGATGGTAACCAGTTAAAAGATTCTGAATGTCACACTTTAAATCTCATCTATAGATGCCGTCTGTATATGTCTCTACATAAGTATATCTTTATCTATATCTCTCTATATATATGCATACATATCCACATATGTATATACATATCACACATATATATATGTGGATATGCATTTGTTTATTCATTTATGTGTGTATACTAAGACTCATCCATTTATCAGTTGATGAACATAAATTCAAATTATTTCCAAATTGGATTGTTATGCATAGAGCTGCCATGCACCTTTAATGATTATGCTGCTGCTGCTAAGTCACTTCAGTCATGTCCGACTGTGTGACCCCATGGACAGCAGACCACCAGACTCCTCTCCACGGGTTTCTCTAGGCAAGAATACTATAATGGGCTGCCATTTCCTTCTCTATTAGTGATTATACACATGGCTAAATTTTTAATAGAAAATATATTTATTATATTTGAAAATTTGGTTTTATAAATATTGGATTGAGATATAATTTGCTTACATGAGTGGACCCAGAGTTAAGTGATTATATAGGTCAAAAGCATGCCTAAACCATGAATCATTTATATGAAACACCCTATTCCCAATGAAAAGAAAAATAACGAATTCCCTCCAATGACCGTGTTTTTTTCTCTTTCCCCTCCAGAAACAATGCAGAGGGAAATGGCAGCAGAAAATCACTCCTCAGTGACTGAGTTCATCCTCACTGGGCTCACAGAACAGCCACAACTCCAGCTGCCTCTTTCTCTCCTCTTCCTGGGAATTTATGTGGACAGGGTGGTGGGGAACCTGGGCATGATCATATTGATTGGGCTCAGTCCTCGCCTGCACACCCCAATGTACTCTTTCCGAAGCAGTTTGTCCTTCATTGACCTCTGTCAGTCAGTCCACTGTCATTACCCCTAGAATGCTGGTGAACTTCATGACAGAGAAGAACATCATCTCCTACCCTGAATGCATGACACAGCTTTACTTCTTCCTCCTTTTTGCTGTCTCTGAGTGTTACACGTTGGCTGCAATGGCTTATGGACGTTATGTTGCCATCTGTAGCTACTTGCTGTACAATATTATCATGTCCCATCAGGTCTGTTTCTCCCTCATTTGGGGAGTGTATGTGATGGGACTGATATGTGCATTCTCTCACACAGGCTGCAAGCTTAGGGTTCATTTCTGTAAATTAGATGGGATCAACCATTATTTGTGTGATCTTCTGTCCCTTCTAAATCTATCCTGCTCTAGCTCCTATGTCAACGAATCACTGGTTCTGTTTTAGTGCACTTGACATCTTTGAGCCCAGTCTGATCATCGTCAGCTCCAACATCTTCATTATTTCCAGCGTCCTCCACATTCCTTCCATGGAGGGCAGGTCCAAATTCTTCAGCACATGCAGCTCCCACATCTTAGCTGTTGCTGTTTTCTATGGGTCTGCAACATTCATGTATCTGCAGCCATCATCGGTCAGTTCCATGGATGAAGGGAAAGTGTCCTCTGTGTTTTACACTATTGTTGTACCCATGCTGAACCCCCTGATTTATAGTCTACAGAACAGAGATGTCAATGTTTCCCTAAAGAAAATGCTAGAGAGAAGAATATTCTTTTGATCAGAAATAATATGAGAATGATTTTTTAGTCTATATAACTGGCTATTTTATTGTGTACATTGATATTTAATTTTAGTCCACATGCCAATATATATTTATCAACATATATCCATACATTTAGTGGCATTATACTGACATTATTTCATAATCATTTGGCCTGTGATGCCATTTGTCTCTGAGTTTTTTCTTTCATAAACACCACTGAGACACAGGTTAAAAGAAATACTAAGGATGATCTGGATCCGTGGACCCACTAAAGTCATCAACATCATCTCTCCCTCTGATCTTCTCTACAATTGATAAAAACCCTCAGTCGATGAAATATCTTCTAGCAGTTATCACTAATGTTCTTTCTTCTATCCGATAAAAAACAACAAAACCGATATTAGTATAATGACTATAATCTCTACCTTTTGCACATCTAATCTGGAAAAGTATCTTTCCCAAATCCTAACTTGTGAATATCTGACTTCTTAAGTCATTAAGTTGTGTTGAGAACCAACACTGGACATGGAAAAAATTTCTAGATATGACCCCAAAAGCATAATTCATAATAATTGACAGTGTGAATTTCATCAAAATTAAAATATTTTGCTTTTCAAAGACAGTGTTAAGTGAATAAAACATAGTTTTAGGTAAGTGCATACACATATTTTTACATATATATATGTAGATAGATAGATAGTAATTTCTAAGTTTCATATTTTGTTTTCTTAAGTTGCACTTTTTTATAATAAATGAAAGCTGTCTGACCTGCTATAACACATTATCCTGTTTAGCACATCTTGTATTCCTTTAAGTCTTTTTACAATATCTTTTTTTTGTTAGTGTTAGGTGATACTTAAAGAATCCTAGAGCTTGCCTTGTTTTAGATGTGTGACTGGACTCTAGAAAACAAGTGTGAATCTATTGCATACTTCTGGCACTATACTAGAAGCCACATCAGCCACAATACCTAGAGTGAACACTAGATCTTCCTTTTCAAACTAGGATATTTCTTACATATGTATAACCATTCATATTTATGAATCATATGAAAAAGTATTCTTCCCTTCTGAGTCACATTCAATTCGACATCTTTGAGGTATCAAAGAACCATGCTTAAATTTTTCCTCTTTGATTTTCTTGACCAGTTTCCACCACCCACCCACACACTTATAAAAGAAATAATATGTGAATACTTATTTTATATATTCGTCATGTCAGGCTTACCATTACCAAGTCAATGGGTTGGAATCCAGGCAACTCAGGGTCAGAAGTTGAAGATGCTGTCACTGGATATGTGTGTGTGTGTGTGTGTGTGTGTACGCTCAGTTGCACAGTCATGTCCAACTCTTTGAGGCCCCATGGACTGTAGACTACCAAGCTCCTGTGTCCATGGAATTTTTCAGGCAAGAATACTGGAGTGCAGTGCCATTTCTTACTCCAGGGAACCTCCGAATCCAGGATCCAACCCATGTCTTCTGTGACCCCCAAAAGAGAAGCATCAAATTTATCATTCTATTTGACCTAATAATAGCTTCAATTGCTTTCTCACAAGCAGTTATTTATGCTGATGAGAGAGAACTGAATTACAAGTGGATTTTGAAGGTCATTTTAATACATGAAGGAAGTTAATTAGTACAAATTATTTGTGAAAATTTATTTCCTGTTGCTGGACTTAGGGTATTTCAATGTTCATACTCATAATTCACAAATCATCATGGATTCAATCAAGTCTGTTAGAATGTGAGAACCAGACACACTCATTTCTGTGCTTTATTTGTTACCCAATAATTCAAGGGTATCCTAAACCACTGGAAAGTGGCTTCAGAAATTTAATCAGAAACAGAGAAAGTTAATAGTCTGATACATTTGGACTGAAATGCATTCATGAACAGAAATCTTCTTCCTTCAACTTTCTCATATTCTAAGAAGGGTTTGTTAGATCAGTCATACATTCCTTAAAAACTTTATTACATAATATAACTTCTGTAATCTTCAAAACACATAGAATATAATGAAGATCTATACAAAATGTACTCTGTATAAATCTAGAAGTCATATCTATAGACTCTTGAAAATAACTTGATTGCTGCCTAACTGGTATGTGAAAATAACATGATTTATAATAGATGCTACACTCTTACATCAACACACTAAGACAAGTTGTTATGGACCAATGGTATCTCAGGAATTGTTGGAAATATGTATAACATTTAAGATGTTATAGTTTATGAAATGTGCAAAGAAGATGACTTATTTTGTTGATGAAATTAGACTTTTATTATTATAAATGAGTTTTTACAATGACAAAATGAGAGACATTTAGGGAAGATAGGTATTATAATAATTAATAAATTTTTGTACTTAAATGTTTGTGAAACTTTCCTTTTCTGAATTGTGCAAGAGACACTACACTCAACTGTTCTCATGATGTTGGTTAGAATCATAAGGATATACCATCTATTTTGAAGATTTAGCCAGATCAGCTTATCTTTTTGCTTTTCAAGAATGCTTGATGTCTATAAAACAAGGGAACTATGGCATTAGTTGGTATTAATTCTGCAGCATGCTCGTTCAGAGTTTCAGCTTTTATCCTGGAGAGGATAACATACAAATCTATACCATCATCCACAATACCTAGAGTGAACCCTAGATTTTCCCTTCCAAACTCGGATATTTTTTTCCATATGTATAACCTTTCACATGTAAGTATCATATGAAAACGTATCCTTCCCTTCTGATACACATTCAATTCATCAGTCTTTGAAGTATCAGGGTTCAAAGAACCATGCTTGACTTTTTCCTCTTTGATTTTCTTGACCAATTTCTACCACCCACACATGCACTTATAAAATAAATAAAACGTGAATACTTATTTTATATAAATGCTTTTGTGTTAATATAAATACACAGACTTGCAAAAGTGAAACTTCAACTCCCAATTATAGAGGTAGGATTTATTTCTATGAGTGAGACCATTTCAGGCCAGTTGGGTGGGGAAAATATCTGCAAAACTTAAAAAATATTGCAACTCATAAATAGAAGTGAAGTAAAGAGACAGGGTGGTATTTTTTAATGATGAAAATTTTCACTGATGTTGCACCATAATCTGTGATATTCCGTTGGGAATCATCCTCAGGAAATGAAATTTCTCTGTAGCTATGGGACCTATTGAAATATAATATGATATTGAAAGACTCGCCTCCCTCTGTGGAGCTACACTCTAGTACCATAAATGTTTCAGTGAATAGTAGATAAAGACAGTTAATGGTTGTAGGGTGCCTGGAAGACTTCTCCAAATCATAAGAATGAATCTGTGAGTGGGTTTTCAGTCATAAATGGGCAATTTGCTTCTGTATTGTCTTTTCTTTTGGGGGGGGGGAGGAGGAGAACACTAAACTTGGAATCAGATTTGAGTATGACTTTCTCTTCAGTTTTCAGTTTTAGTAAAGTTTCTAACTTTCTGAATGTCAGTGTTCTTTTTTTAGAAATTGGGATTCATTACCACTACTTCACAAGGATTTTGAAAGAATTAAGAGATCATAAAATTACATTATAACAAATAAGAAATATAAAAACATATCTTTATTTTAAAGTTATTATTTTGAGTGAATGTTAGAAAGGCAGAATTAGTAACTCAGCAGATGCTCCTATTGTTCTTTGTGGGAGAGCCAGCTATACCATCTAACAGATGTAAGAACTTGGTCAATTTTCTTAAACTCTTTGTGCCTCAGTTTCCTAATGTAAACAGGAATTAACCCTACCTGCCTCAGAGAATTGTAGTAAGGACTAAAGGTGGTAATGTACATGAAGTATTCAGTAGTGCCTGGACATATTTCTATTAACATAACTCAGGTTTTATCTCTTTTAATTAATTAATTTTTATATTTTTAAAAAACTGGATTATAATTACTTTACAAGCATGTTGTGTTATTTTCTGCTATATAACGGCATGAATCAGATACATAGACATATTCCCTCCCTCTTGAGCCTCCCTCTTACCTTCCTATCCCACACCTCTAGGTCATCACAGAGCACCGACCTGAATCACAGGTAGGAACCTGTGCTATACAGCAGGTTCCTACTTGATTCAAAGAAAAATAAAAAAACTACACACCAAACACAAAAGCATCCCAAAGAGTTTCTGTCATTTTAAAGGACTCTTGCTCAGTGGCATTCTGGCCTTCCCCATGGTACATGTCTATCTTTTATTAAGATACATTAAGAATGGTATTAAGCTGTTATTGTAACTTTTATAATGATATTCATAATTCTTATTGTTATAGAGGCAGACAGATTTATCATATTTAAATCAAAGTCATCTGCTCACTAGCAGAATCACTTGTTAAATTTGTGCCTCTTCAGATATATTTGGGAAAATGAACAAAGTAATAAAGGCAAAGAATTACAGAGGATATTAAGGGTGCAGGTGGGAAAAAAGTGCATTTAAATTGGGAATGCAAGTTCTTCATATCTGAAAGAATATCACCCTACAAATAATCAAACCCTTATCATGATGAGAACACAACACTTAACAAGGCAACTGAGCCATTAACTTGTTCCTATACTGAAGCAAAATCTAACTTTTTAGTTTAGATTTAGTTCCACTTTTGTACACATCATTTGCTATGGATGAGCACCCAGCACATCTACATAGCAGCTCTTCAATTATTTGAAGATGAAAATCAGGTCTCAGCTTCTCTAAGTAAAAATTCCTGGGAGCTTTCACAGTAGAAAAGTTAGAAATTTGACTCTGCAGACATGAGTTTTAATCTCAGACCAGTTATTTTCTAGCTACATGATCAGGTTACTAAAAACTCCCCATGCTTTTTATGTCTTCTTTAACTTAATAAGGTTGTTTCTCAGACTTAAATTTAAAAATAAAATAAATTAGCATAACACTTGCAAATAGTCAAAAGCTGTTATTTTAATTAAAGCATTTTCATATGGAATAATTTCACTTAAATAGAATAATTTCAATAAAGTCACTTTATATATTTATAACGTTGCTTTAAAAGTATTTAGTTTATTAATGATGCTTTGTAAATTACACTTGTTAGAAGGACACATAAGGTGATAATTAAATAATTGCTTATCCTTTATTAAATAGTTTCTTGGTTTGACATCAGTGCTGAGACTTTGGAGACCTGTATTCTGTGTTGAAGTCCAACATTCTAACACAGATGAGGAACATCTCACTGGTGACTGAGTTTATTCTGCTGGGCATCCCGCACACAGATGACCTAGAGACCATGCTCTTTGTCCTGTTTCTGTCCTTCTACATCTTCATCCTTATGGGGAACCTGCTCATCCTACTGGTGATTGTCTCCTCCGCTTGGCTGCACACTCCCATGTACTTCTTCCTGTGTAAACTGTCTGTGTGTGACATATTTTTCCCCTCTGTGAGTTCCCCCAAGATGCTCTTCTACCTCTCAGGGAACAGCCGAGCCATCTCCTACGCAGGCTGTGTGTCCCAGCTCTTTTTCTACCACTTCCTGGGTTGTACCGAATGTTTCCTGTACATGGTAATGGCCTATGACCGCTTTGTTGCCATATGTTACCCTCTGCGCTACACAATAATCATGAGTCACAGAGTGTGTGCCATCCTGGCCATGGGCACCTCGTTTTTTGGGTGCATTCAGGCCACCTTTCTAACTACACTCACCTTCCAGTTGCCCTACTGTGGCCCCAATGAGGTGGACTATTACTTCTGCAATATCCCAGGGATGCTGAAGTTGGCTTGTGCAGACACCTCGGCACTAGAGATGGTGGGGTTCATCAGTGTGGGTCTCATGCCCCTCAGCTGCTTCCTTCTCATCCTCACCTCCTACAGCTGCATCATTTACTCCATTCTTCAAATCCGATCGGCCGAAGGCCAACGGCGTGCCTTCTCCACCTGCAGCGCCCACCTCACTGCCATCCTCCTCTCCTTTATGCCAGTGGTTCTCATCTACCTGCAGCCCACCCCTAACCCCTGGCTTAATGCAACTGTTAGGTCCTGAATAACCTTGTCACCCCCATGCTAAACCCCTTGATCTACAGCTTGAGAAATAAGGAGTGAAATATTCTCTGAGGAAGGTGCTAGAGGAGATGGCCCTCATTGATGAGAAGTGATAGAGGTGACTCCGCATTGCTTATGGAGGACTTCACACAGAGATATTATCTCTGCTCTCTTTCACAGATGAAGAAGCTAAGATTAGAAGATATGAAGTGAATTGCTCCAGGTCACTAATAAATTACCCTACTCAGGAGGGATAAAAGGATATCCTACTGCTCCCATTTGGCAATAAAAAACCTAGGTCTTCTGTCCCTCACTCTTTGTCTTCCTCTCTTCCTAATCCTCTCCTGTTCCCTTCTCCCTTACCCTAGCACTTCCTCATCTTGGCTGACGTGATTATATGATTAACCTCTCAAATGCCTGCAGCAGAAAAGCCCTCATTTGTTGGTCTAGGGATTGTAGAAAAATGGGAAGGTTTCAACCATATGTCTTGCAGTGGTACTCTGTGACTTCTGAAATGAAAAGAAACTGTGTAAAGTAAAGGACCTCTGGGTGAGACCTCAGGACCTTTGCCTCTTAATGACTGAATCATAGGTATCAATGCACTGTATCACCCACAAAGTCTGCCTGTTGGTCTTCAATCTGAAAACAAGATTTGATTGGGATTTGAATCTGTAGATAAAGAGAATGTGAAGAAAGTAGCCAGGAGGAGTCTGTGAAGCGGTGACTAATTCTGTTGTTTTTCAGCATTCAAAATTTTAGTTTGTCTTTATAATCCCAAGCCTAATCATCAGTCCATGCAAAATCTAAGCTGCTATTGTTCCATGGTTTTGAATACTTTGCTTACCAGAAAGCTGTGACTTTAATGCTGCCCCTCTTTCTTTTTTCATTTGTCTAATGAGCTCAGCATAAGATACGTGCTATTTTAGCCCAGGCAGAGATTTGAAGGAAAGTGAAGGGTGAGATGAGGTGAGAAGGCAGTGATGGAAAGAGAAAGGAGTGGTTGGAAGGGAAGAGAGTGATTGGTGATTGAAAGAGAAGGGGGTAATGTGAAGAGAAAGATGTGATGAGAAGTTAAATGGATGCTGGGACGAGAAGAAGAAGAGGTAGAGGCCAGTTGGCTCTTCTTTGGTTTATTTTCAGGATCAGAGTTCAGCCAGGGATTCTCCCACACTTGAACCAATCACAACATTGTGTTTAAAAGCTCATATCAGGGTGATGAGGTGATGTGTGTTTTTAAAGGGAAGAACATTTCTCCTGCTCATTTCTCTTAAACCCTGTGCCTTTTATTCTAACAGAAATGCTCCTTCCAGAGTGTTTAGTAGAACAAATTCATTCTTATCACTGTTAGTTGCTCAATCATGTCTGACTCTTTGTGACCTCATGGACTGTACCCTACTAAGCTCCTCTGTCCATGGAAAACTCCAGACAAGAATACTGGAATGGGTAGCCATTCTCTTCTCCAGGGGATCTTCCCGACCTAGGGATCGAAACTGGGTCTCCTACACTAGCAGATTCTTTACCATCTGAGCCATCAGGGAAACCCACTAAAGACCCAGTTAAAATATTTCCTGTGTGAAACTTTATACTAAGCAAGTCAGGCTCTCAATTCTCTGTGTTTTAAGTCAGACTTAGCAAAAACATCCCTCCACCGTGCTAGGATAAGTTTTAGCAAAGCTTTATCAAAGAGTGAAAGTCAAGTAGGTTCAGGGAAGGTAAGGAGAAAACAAGAGTTAGTTGGGGATTGACTATATGGAATCAACAGTTCATTTGTTGAACAAAAGAAATTCTGAGTCCCAGGTGAGGTTTTTTTTTTTGTTTTGTTTGTTTGTTTTTATTTTTTTTCAATTTATTTTTATTAGTTGGAGGCTAATTACTTTACATCATTGCAGTGGTTTTTGTCATACATTGAAATGAATTAGCCATGGATTTACATGTATTCCCCATCCCGGTCCCCCCTCCCACCTCCCTTTCCACCCGATCCCTCTCGGTCTTCCCAGTGCACCAGGCCCGAGCCCTTGTCTCATGCACTCAACCTGGCCTGGTGATCTGTTTCACCCTAGATAATATACATGTTTCGATGCTGTTCTCTTGAAACATCCCACCCTCGTCTTCTCCCAGAGTCCACAAGTCTGTTCTATACATCTGAGTCTCTTTTTCTGTTTTGCATATAGGGTTACCCTTACCATCTTTCTAAATTCCATATATATGTGTTAGTATACTGTAATGGTCTTTATCTTTCTGGCTTACTTCGCTCTGTATAATGGGCTCCAGTTTCATCCATCTCATTAGAACTGATTCAAATGAATTCTTTTTAATGGCTGAGTAATATTCCATAGTGTATATGTACAACAGCTTCCTCATCCATTCGTCTGCTGATGGGCATCTAGGTTGCTTCCATGTCCTGGCTATTATAAACAGTGCTGTGATGAACATTGGGGTGCATGTGTCTCTTTCAGATCTGGTTTCCTCAGTGTGTATGCCCAGAAGTGGGATTGCTGGGTCATATGGCAGTTCTATTTCCAGCTTTTTAAGAAATCTCCACACTGTTTTCCAGAGTGGCTGTACTAATTTGCATTCCCACCAACAGTGTAAGAGGGTTCCCTTTTCTCCACACCCTCTCCAGCATTTATTGCTTGTAGACTTTTGGATAGCAGCCATCCTGACTGGCGTGTAATGGTACCTCATTGTGGTTTTGATTTGCATTTCTCTGATAATGAGTGATGTTGAGCATCTTTTCATGTGTTTTTGTGCCATCTGTATGTCTTCCTTGGAGAAATGTCTGTTTAGTTCTTTGGTCCATTTTTTGATTGGGTCATTTATTTTTCTGGAGTTGAGCTGGAGGAGTTGCTTGTATATGTTTGAGATTAATCCTTTGTCTGTTGCTTTGTTTGCTATTATTTTCTCCCAATCTGAGGGCTGTCTTTTCACCTTGCTTATAGTTTCCTTTGTTGTGCAAAAGCTTTTAAGTTTCATTAGGTCCCATTTGTTTATTTTTGCTTTTGTTTCTAAAATTCTGGGATGTGGGTCATAGAGGATCCTGCTGTGATTTATGTCGGAGAGTGTTTTGCCTATGTTCTCCTGTAGGAGTTTTATAGTTTCTGGTCTTACATTTAGATCTTTAATCCAATTTGATTTTATTTTTGTGTATGGTGTTAGAAAGTGCTCTAGTTTCATTCTTTTACAGGTGGTTGACCAGTTTTCCCAGCACCACTTGTTAAAGAGGTTGTCTTTTTTCCATTGTATATCCTTGCCTCCTTTGTCGAAGATAAGGTGACCATAGGTTCATGGATTTATCTCTGGGCTTTCTATTCTGTTCCGTTTATCTATATTTCTGTCTTTATGCCAAAACCATACTGTCTTGATGACTGTGGCTTTGTAGTATAGTCTGAAGTCAGGCAGGTTGATTCCTCCAGTTCCATTCTTCTTTCTCAAGGTTACTTTGGCTATTCGAGGTTTTTTGTATTTCCATACAAATTGTGAAATTATTTGTTCTAGTTCTGTGAAAAATACCGTTGGTAGCTTGATAGGGATTGCATTGAATCTGTAGATTGCTTTGGGTAGTATAGCCATTTTGACAGTATTGATTCTTCCCATCCATGAACACGGTATATTTCTCCATCTGTGTGTGTCCTCTTTGATTTCTTTCATCAGTGCTTTATAGTTGTCTATGTATAGGTCTTTTGTTTCTTTAGGTAGATATACTCCTAAGTATTTTATTCTTTTTGTTGCAATGGTGAATGGTATCGTTTCCTTAATTTCTCTTTCTGTTTTCTCATTGTTAGTGTATAGGAATGCAAGGGATTTCTGTGTGTTAATTTTATATCCTGCAACTTTACTGTGTTCGTTGATTAGCTCTAGTAATTTTCTGGTAGAGTCTTTAGGGTTTTCTATGTAGAGGATCATGTCATCTGCAAACAGTGAGAGTTTCACTTCTTCTTTTCCTATCTGGATTCCTTTTACTTCTTTTTCTGCCCTGATTGCTGTGGCCAAAACTTCCAACACTATGTTGAATAGTAGTGGTGAGAGTGGGCACCCTTGTCTTGTTCCTGATTTCAGGGGAAATGCTTTCAATTTTTCACCATTGAGGGTGATGCTTGCTGTGGGTTTGTCATATATGGCTTTTATTATATTGAGGTATGTTCCTTCTATTCCTGCTTTCTGAAGAGTTTTAATCATAAATGGATGTTGAATTTTGTCAAAGGCTTTTTCTGCATCTATTGAGATAATCATATGGTTTTTATTTTTCAATTTGTTAATGTGGTGTATTACATTGATTGATTTGCGGATATTAAAGAATCCTTGCATTCCTGAGATAAAGCCCACCTTCTCTATACAAATTTAAAAGGAGGTTTCTCTTAAAAAACTGTGTTGCCACAATGACACCTGGTTTCACTTGAAGTTAACTATTCTCAAACCTTGAGTTAACCATACATTTTTCTTATGGAAAGGTTTGTCTTAAGCTATGTTAATGTACTATGCATTTACCCCAGACTCTGTCTTCAAGTCAGTTCTGCCTAATGGCTCAGAACCTACTTGACAAACCAGTGTGTTATACTCAGATATTGTTCCCCTAATCTATGTAAATGAAAGTATTTGTATGGTAATCTGCCCTTCTACAAGATTCAAGTCAATCATTTTATGGCCTGGGATGAATCATCTGGTGCCAAAATGCATCTTATGGATGAGGGGCCTGGTGCCATTCTGAGTTTTAAGACATTTCTTTCATTAACAGACTGCTAGTGACTATATAGCATCCAGCTGAAGACTAGCAGGGGGGTAC